TCTTTCCCTCTCCACAGGTAATGCCAGTAACTTAATCTCAAGCTTCGGGGCATCAACCGTCTGCTGCAGGCTGGGAAAGGATTTATCCTAATGTTTATAGCGCAGCACAGAGACATTATACATATCTGTGTGTGGGGTGAGTGAGGGGCTCCTCTTTCCTGAAGCATAATATGCCAGATGCACTATTAAACATGATGGACGGAGGGTCTCATCTATCATCCCTTTGTCTCAAGTGAGCCTCTCTCTGCTCTGGATCTGGCTGTCCATCCTGCACGCTCCTCACCCCCTGTCTTCTGCGTTCAAAGATATCATATTTGGACCAGCTGGACCTGTCCTGTGCAAAACATCTGAGACATCAATAGGCGTTATCATCCTTTGAAACGTGCTACTACACGCTTCATCCTCTGAGCTTCCTTCAGAAGATCAAACAAGTCTGAAGGAAGGCACGAGAACAGCAACCGTCCTTCGAATGCTTTTTGTCTGAGTGCCAGCTACAGGCACCAGTGTGTGGGATCCGGCTTTGAACCCTTGCCGGGAGCCAAGCCCAGCTCGTCTCACTGCCAGGGACAAGACTGCTGCCCACTGACATGTGTAAGGGACGATTCTTACTAGTTCAAACATGGATCAGATTTCTGTGCCGAGATCTCTTCTTTGTCAATGCTGCTGTTCCGACGGACTTGCTGGGAAGGTTTGTTTTGATCTGTGGTTATGAAGCCAGAGGAAAAGCATTTTGATCCCGAACACAGATTGTTATTTGGAGATGTTCAGTTGAGCTCCTCCATCTCTGTGCTGCCACGTGCCGCACAGGAGACACCAGGCACTGCACCTACACGTGCAACCCATTCCTACCTGCGTGCAGCCTTTCATGCAGTCACCATCCTCGGTGCTCATGCATCTGTGCAAAGCAGCTTGCATCTGCATGTCTGACCGTGCATGGACGTCATGCAGGCGTGCCGCTCTCTGCATGTTCCAAACAGGTCCCTGCACGGGTGTGCGTTCATCTATAGCCATCCCGCAGGCAGAGACCCCTATCCCTCCCTTCCACCTGCAAATGCATAGCATGCCTGACATCTCCACACATGCCCACCTTCTGCCTTCATGCTGTCACCCGTGCCCTTTCTCTGAATGGGAGCCTGGGCACATCCCTTTGGGACCTGAGTCTATCCCCCGCTCTGCCCTGGGCTGAGCCTGTGCTCGATCTTCCTGCCAGTGACACTGCATTGAGGACAGGCTTCTGCAAAGCTCCACAGGGGTCTTTTCCCTCCTCTCTGGGGGACTGGGGAGGGCTTGGGATGACTCCACTCCTGGTCCCCTCTCCCTCCTCAGGGAGCTCATGCCATTTCCCCAGGGGCTGAATCCCCATATACTTTTTATTTTTGGTTTTTGAAAACCCCTCAGGGAAGGTTGCTAGAGGACTGTGAGTATTGACCCAGGCAGCCTGGGGCTGGAGCAGGCTCATGACAAAATCTAGACATGTCACGTAAGCAGGATCAAGTGCTAATCCCATTCTCTGCCCATTAGGCAGGCCGAGGCTGCGTCTGCCTCCGATACACTTGTTAGTGGCTCTCCTCCCATGGCGGGTGACAGGCATACCGGCCTTGAAAGCACAGAGGATCCGCTCCTCTCTGGGGTTGGAAACAGGTTTTGGCTTGAGCCAGTTCAAAGCCATGTGGTATAAACAGGGGCTGGCGATCAGGAAGCCTAGACCTGAGACTAGATGCTAGAGATGGCATCAACTCAGTGAAGCCTGATGAGAGTCTTTAGCGGGTAGGTCTCTGTGGGCACACCTACATGTGCATTTACATTGCATTAAATTTAGTGCGCAGTAAGTTACTGCACAGTAAGCAGAAATAGGCCGGTGACTACACATGCAGGTGTTAAAGCACATTAACGCTGTGTGTGGTCTGACTTGGGACTAAAGTTAGTCCCAAGTCAGTCCACACACAGTGTTACTGCGCACTAAGGCGTCTACATGTGTGTTATTGCACAGTAACTAATTTGGTGTAATTTTGATACCTGCATCATGCAGGTATCAAATTTGCACCCAAGTCGGCATAAGTCGCCATACTTTTTGTGCATAACAGGTGTGTATGTGCAGATGTGCGCCTGTCCTGCGCAGTAATTTTTGGTTACTGAGCAGTAATTTAAGTTACTGTGCAGTGAGTGTGCATGCATATATGCACCCAGGGTGTGGCATCTGTCTGGCTGTGCACAGGTCTGTGAGGGTGAGAATAACTGTGTGTGTGTGTGGGTAGGACTGTGCCTGCATATTTGGCTGGAGCTTTGTCTGCTCTAAGGGGGTCGAGCAAAGCGTTTCCACCCGTGGTCCCCTTGGTTCAGCTTCCCCAGCCCTGGGAGAGGCCGAGCGGAGGTGAGGCTCTGTGGTTCACTCAGAGGTTTTGCCTGCGGTTCACAAGCGGTTCCAACAAATATGCCCGAGCTGTGATTGCAAAGGGGCTCTCGTGCACTGGAGTAGCTGCACCGATAGGAACTTCCCACTGAAATCCCGCTGTGCCAAGCTGGCCTGCATATGACACAACGTGCCTGCATGCTGCTGCGAGTGCTGGGGCTTTTCCAAATGCTCCTGCAGATCAATGGAAATGGGACGTAAAAGTGGACGTAGTCTCCAGAGCTGACCCGAGGGAAAGGAAGGGAGCAGCAGGAAAGAATGAGGTTTTAACAGGAGAAAATGCCATGGGGTGTCCCCACATTTTTAGGACATGACATCGAGGATTCCTCATGGTCTGCCCTGCCGTATTCATCTGCCAGTGGCGTGATTCACTGACGGTCTGGCAATCCCGCAGGAGGCAGCTCTGGCCTGCATTCATCCTTTCTGTGCTCGTCTGAAGGGACGTGTCCCTGTCCTCACCCGAGGCTGGTGTGGGAGGATCGGTAATCTGGGGAGGCGCTGGGCATTGCCCCACGATTCCTTCTGAGGCTGCTTTCCAAAAGGATGTTTTTATTCTCTGTCTCTGTGACCCTACTTGGAGAAGCCCAGGGGCCAGGCCACGTGGGCAGACCCTCAGAAACCTGACTTTACTTTTAAAGAAGCCAACTGGGCCCGAGAGCCTGATGCTTGGTCTGTACACTTTCAAGCGGGGTGCCTGAGAACCATGGTAGGAGACCCCCGCCACAAAGAGCCATTGCTCTGTATGGACACGGCACCGGGCAGCCAGTCTCTGTCACTGCCCAGGTGATGGGTGCAGGTCTGACACCATGCAGTGCCCTGTGATGCTCTCAGGACCAGAGGTCCACATGCGGCACTGGGGTTGCAGCTTTAGCCTCCCTGTAACCGTGCTGGTGAGTTGTGCCCCACACGCAGTGCAATCACACCCCGCTTCCCCGGCCCCCCAGCAGTGCGGTACTCACCCTCCTTGCACTCCAGGGCCACACGTGATTCGAGGTTGTCCATCTGCATCTGGAGCCTCTTGAGGGTGAGGTCATTCTCCCGGGACTTGCGCTTGTAGGCGATGAGGACGATGATGACGATGATGAGGAGCAGGCTGCCTCCTGCCGCGATGCTGACGATGGCCGGCAGGGTCAGCAGGCTGTCCGAGATCACGCTCACTGAGCCGGGAGAGAAGACGATGCCACCAACGTGCACCTAGCCAAGCAAAATGCCAAGTGATTATTTCCCTCTGTGTGGCACTGGGGAGGCCACATCTGGAGTCCCGTGTGCAGTTTTGGGCCCCCCATTACAGAAAGGATGTATAAAAATTGGACAAAGTCCAGCAGAGGGCAAAGAAAAAAATGGTTTGGGGGCTGGGGCACATCACTTGCAAGAAAAGGCTGAGGGAACTGGGCTCATTTAGTTTGCAGAAGAGAAGACTGAGAGCGGATTTGATAGCAATCTTCAACTCTCTGAAGTGGGGTTGCAAAGAGGATGGAGCTGGACTGTTCTCAGTGAGGGCGGATGACAGGACAAGGAGCAATGGGCTCCAGTTACAGTAAGGAAAGTTGAGGTTGGGTATTAGGAGAAACCTTCTCACTAGGAAGGTGGTAAAGCACTGGAACAGGTTACTCAGAGAGGAGTTGGAGTCTCCATCCATAGAGGTTTTATAAGAGCCAGCTAGACAAAGCCGTGGCTGGGGTGATGTAGCTGGGGCTGGTCCTGCTTGGAGCAGGGGGTTGGACTAGATGTGACCTCCTGAGCTCCCTTCCACCCTCATTTTCTATGATTCTGGGAAAACAGCAGGGCTCAGGTGGGGAAAGCCCCATTTAGCAGCTAGCTCAGGCATGGGCAGCCCAGGTGCAAGCTGCTCAACTTTGAGACCATCCCCACTGCTCTCATGCAAAGCCAATATGGATTTGGGTAGTCGAGAAGTTCTGGGACTCTTGGACTCTCACTAGGTCTGACACCCGGCCCCTGATTTCCTAGACGGGGGTGTCCTATCTACTCGCACCTCTGCACTGTCTGCTCAGCCCTGCAACAGTCCCAGTTCGGACCGGGACTGCCTGGCTCTGCTCCATGTCCCCTGCCCAAGATGTGGAGGGGGATAGAGACATTTCCACCCTCCCAGCTCCATCACCAGGAGAAAAAAGGGTGGAAGAGGAAGCAGTGGCCTTTGAGAAAGCAGCACTGACTTCCAGCTCAGATGCCTGACACATTTTCTCTGCTCCCCAAATCCCTTTTATCTGCTAGTTAAGGCAATCAGTCCACACTGTACAGATGTCTGGAGAAGACATGGCACACAGTTTGTCTCCGTCACAGCCAAGACCATCTGAACACCGTCTGTCTTCAAAAAAAAAGAAAAAAAAGAAAAGAAAGAAAGGGCACAGCCTATTTGAAACACAGAGTTGGCTTCAAGTCATGATAAATACATCAGTCCTTCACTATCTCAGACTTTGTTCTCATTATCTGATGGCTCCATTTGACTTTCATTTCACAGGCTTTCAACTCCCTTTTGTAAACTATGGACATTAGACACACACTGACAATTTCTTGGACAAAGCAAGTAAAGGAAAACCAAGAAAGCAGGGTCAGAAAAGAGAAGGAAAGGAAGGAGAAGGGAAAGGAAGAGAGACTATATATGCAAGTTGGGGAATAAGCAGGCTGGAGGCTAATGATAGGATAGGGTTTTCTTGAACATGCAAGACCTCAGACGTAAACAGCTGTCTTCGGAGCTGCTTAGTATGAATCCTGTGGTGATAATTCAAATATATTTTGGTTGCTGAACTTGAAGAAACATAAATCACAATTAAGGGCCTCATTTGAGTGTTACCCTGGTAGTTTAGCAGCTGCCCACTTCGTCTCTGACTACACTGGAGAGGAATAACATTGCCTCCAAGTGAAGCGAATGAAAGCACAAGAATTGCCATCCTGGATCACACTGTTATCCAATCAAACCCGCCACTCAGAAGCAGCCAACTCCTGATGCTTCAGGAAAATGCAAAAATCCCTTGAAGTGCCCCCAAGCCAATATCACCGCGCTGCATGCAGCGGCAGAAACCCTTCCTGACCTCGCAGCTGGGAGCGCTGCGGGTGACGGTCCATTTTCCCGTGTATTAGCACTGTCAGAAATGGGGCAGCCGGTGCTGAGGCAGAAATCCTCCAGCTTCCCGGCTTCTCTAGAAACCTGCCCTGGCAGCAGGAGGGGGTCTCCAGGGACAGGACGGGAATTTCCTTCTTTCCACGACATGCTATGCTTTTCACTTCCGATTAAACAGCTGTGAAGGGCTACAATCCTGTCTGAAGCTTGACAACAGTGGCAAAAACAGCATTTACATGCTGCTTTGGAGGAAACAGGAAGGAAGAGAGGGTAGACGGACAGACAGACAGATGCAGGCTGGTTTCTGACCTACCATAACTTTGTGCTGGCCTGTGAGGTTCGGAGGCTCGCACAGCAGCTGTGTCTCAGACACGGTGACGGCGCAAGGGGTGTCTCCAATTAGGACAGTGTAGTTCAGCTTTGCTCCGCCGGGAGCTGGTGGGCACAGATTTTTGCCCTGGAGACAAAGGGAAAGATAACTGCATGAAGACATCACATATTCGTTGGCCAGAACTCATCTACCCTTTAATTCCTAGTTGAAGCATGCATGTAGTTGGATATAGAGGCCTACATGTTGCCCCTTTCCATCTTCCACTGCCTTCTCTAGCCAGTGGGTGTAATATTCCTGTATCATGGACATCACACCATGCTGCCTCGATCTCAAAGAGGGAGAGAGAAGGGCATAAGGCTATCAGAGCCTTACAGTACCTCTGCCTGTTGCACTTCAGCTCTCATCTACACCTAAAAGCTTTCTGGACATAGTGCTTAATTACATCAATCAGTCAAGGGTTTTAGATGTCACTCCTTCCTAGGACTAGGGCTCGCAGGGAGCCCAGCTGGGCTGCACAAAGGGCTGAAATGGATGTCTCAGGTGTCCTTACCTTCAGGATGATGGGAGACCCCGGCTTCTGGTCCAGCACCCCTGTGGGGCTCAGCAGCTCAAAAGTAGGGTTTGGGTAGTAAATGAACTTAGTGTCGTTATAGATGAGCAGGGACTGCACGTTGTTAAAGATGAAGCCAAACTCGTCCGGCCGCTCGACGGCATCCAAGCCAGGGCGGTACTCGGGGGTGAGGGAGGGAGCCAGGCAGGTCAGCATGGTTGTGTTCATGACCTTGCAGATCTGGAAATGCAAGAAGGGAAGGGGAGGGGGAGATGAACACTGCGAGTAAGAGATCTCTCCCATGGCTGGTCGTTGCCCAGCCTCGCACACACGACACCAATGGGCAAATTGGCTGAAAACCATGGAATCCGACTCCTTTAGACCTGGTCAGCGGGACAGTTACTAATCCCGGTTTAATACCCTTGCAGACATCACAGCTGAAGCTGTGCCTGTTACATCTAGAGATTTAAAGGCCCGAGCTTAGCCTGGCCCAACAGGCTAGCAAGGCCAGACACGGCTGGCTGCTGTCTGAACAAGGCACGGTCCTACTTTTTAGGGTGACATCTATCCCTGGCATTAAAGCTCCCACTATAGTAGCAGAGGTGAGCTGTTGTCTCCAGGGCAGGGCTGAGACATGTGGTTAGAGGGTCTTGTGAACACGAAGGTAAAAGCACGGTCACTGGGGGAGGTGAATTTGCAATAATGCAAAAGCACTAGCAAAACAAATCATGGCCAGTGACACCCACAGGCCCCCCACCCCTCCCCTGAGTTCACAGGCCAGGAGTTGCAAGAGGAAGTTCCTTTCAACAGCCCCCTTGCTTGATACCGTGCTGATCTGAACTGGCTTCAGCCATTATGTTTAAAAGCATGAGTAACCGTGGGCAGTGAGCAGCTGTGCAAAGGATTGCAGCCATACCGATCCACTTTATTTCTCTTCCTCTAACTTGGCAAGTACAATTTGGCTTCACACTGAGCCTCTGATACCCCAGGTATCTCTAAGCCCCATTACAAAGCAGTGAGTTAGGTATTGAGGGCAGAAGGCAGGGCTGGATGGCCCCTTAAAGACTAATCGATTGAGGGAGGCCTGCGTTTTTGTAGGCAACAACCTATTAGGGGTGAAAGGGGCACTGAGGGCAAAGGAGCCAACACTGCCGTGAGTCAGGGTTAATGTGCAGTGGGTGGGTGGAAGAATGGAGTTGCCCTAAAAAAATTGGCCAAGGAGCCAGTGATGCTTTAATTTTTATCTGCAGTTCAGTCCAGGAACACACACACACACACACACACACACACACACACACTCTCTCTCTCTCTCTCTCTCTCTCTATTTGGAATAAGTTCTCCATAAAAAACAAACCCCGCCCCCCAAACCCTTAATGGGATGAAATCCCTGTGGGACTTTGGAATGAGCATGCTGAAGCAGCGACTGCACTCAGGTACCGTGCAAAACATGAGATCAGCACGTTAAGATGTGATCCTATTCGACAACACATCCTCCACAGCCCGGTCAGCGCTGGATCAGAAAGCATTCCCCAGGGGGGTAGGAGGGATACTGCTTTCTCCCCTCTAAATCAGTACTGAACTACCAGGGTTGCAGTCGGGTGAGCTACAGGACGCGTGATGCACCAGGACAGGTATGACGCCAGGGCTCTGCTCCTCTGGGAATATGACAGCTGCCGGTGCCACCTTCAGAAGTGGTGGGAGGATTGATCCTGGCGTCCCGGCTACGTTCTGACTTGGGCAGCCGTACCTTGCTGCCGTGACCTCTCCCTGCACAGTCCGCTACGCTGGTATGTAGCCAGAATAAGCAGCTCAGACTTGAATCACTGCAGTCCCACATGGGGAGAAGCTATGCCCCCCACCCTGCCCAAACCCAGCTCAAGGACCGGAGTCGCACTGGAGAGAGCTCCAGGCAGCAAACCAGCTTGCCGAGTCCTTTTTCTCTTGCCTGTTGCATTGCATCTGCCAAACATGCCTTTGAGCCAGACCTGTAATTAATACCTGGCCTTGCCTACAAATTGGTGATTAGAGACAATTTTCTAATACCAGCGGGAAAGAGGAGAGCTCCCCCGGTAACGAAGGATTCTGAGTAAACCGAAGGCTGCTGGGCCCCATGCCACAACTCCCCCGTGCCCTAGAGCAAGGGCTTGCTGGGCGGGCAGGGCAGGCACTTTCTGCTGATTTATTAGGAACCACGGCCTATAGAACAGCAGGAGACCTTTAATTTGGCCTCTCTCCACACCAGGGAGATTTAACTCTGCGCACATTTGGGCATTAAGAATTATTTTTGTAATAATCGTAAAATGAGGTGTGAAAAAAAGCCCAGAGCTGAAGCCCAGAGGGGAAGAGGAAAGCATGGCAGTCGAGCAATTTGCTGTTTCCAGAGGCAGTTTTTTGCACGCGGTGGAAACAGCTCCCTCGGGCTCGTTCAGCTGGGTAATGAATGCGAGAAGCACGCATCTCATTGCAGCGCATGGGGATGGGATCTGGTGCCTGGCCAAGCAGGGGTTCACTTCTGCTCAGCTCTTGGGTGCAAGAGCTATGCAAACACCCGTTCTGTGGCAGGCGCTGGGCCTGGACCAGGCTTGTGCTCAGCTTTTAGGGCTGCCATGGACTGCTTGTGTGAACCTGCATACAAACCGCTCTGCTTTCTCTGGGCTCCCACCCCATTTTGGTAGCCTGGGGAGGAGGTGCCCATCTCTCCCACAGGGCTCTGGAGAGGGTAAAGCTCATTAATGGCTCCAAGGGGATGCGGCGATGTAAGGACCAGGTAGATAGGAGCCTGGAGAGTGCAACAACATGTTGGCTGGTTGGAGATGGGTGCAGAAAGCTAGGAGTTATGTTTTCTGCTAATCTTTCCACCAGAGCTTAGCCCATTGCCATCTCGGCTGGCCCCACTTGGACCACATTAGACAGCTACAATCCAGGCTCACAATGAAGATGCCTTATTTGACAGATATCTCAGCAATGTGGGCCCATCCCTCCAGTACGAGACAGGCCTGCCGCGCGAGCTCGATTAGCTCCGAGCCGAGCGTTCCTGGTGCTGCTAGGGTCTACAAAGTCACTTTGCATCCACATGAAAGTGAAGCTGTTTCCTTGCACGACGGCTCTTGAAAGTCACTAAATAATAATAATAAATTGGATTTTTTATGGCGTTCTGGGCGCCTCGCAAAACAACAACATTGGAGCTCATAAAACACCCGAATGCACGAGAGCGCCAACAGATAAAATGGGAGGAGATAAAAGTCACATCCAGAATTAACGGCCCGTCCCCATGCACGGCAGCAGGGCTGCAGGTAGGGTGCAGCGCCTTGCCCAGCGCAGAGGCACAGCTGCGCTCTGTCCGCTGGGAACATCGCTGCCAAATGCCACGCATGCATGACAGATGCATGGCTGCGCACTCCTGCCAGCTGTCCACACGCTCCACTACCTGTGAACCGGGTGCTACCCAGCACGTGTGCACAATCCTGGGCACCTTCCAGCCAATTGCTCCATGCACTTTGCAGCTGGCACGTCTCCCCATTTTACAGGTAAGCATACTGAGGACACACAAGCATCACTGGGCTGGGACTACAACTTTGCGGACAAAGACGAGGTTCCTCTGTGCTTCCTCTTTCAACTTCTTGGGATCAAAAACTCGAAGCCATTTGGTTTCTTAGGATGGCTTGGCGAGACCCCAGCCTGCTGGGCTTGCAGCAGCCCGAAAGGTGGAAGTCCCATCACTTTCCAGGGCAAAGTAGGGACTGAAGAAGGGTTTGCTGAGGAGTAACATGTCGCACTCGGTGCCTGTGCTGCAGCCTGGGGATCCCGCCAGCTCTTCC